AAGAAGGTGGTGTGTGTGTGTGTGTGTGTGTGTGTGTGTGTGTGTGTGTGTGTGTGTGTGTGTGTGTTGTCTAGGGGCCATCTGTCTCCAGGCTTACATCTGGAACTGGGGCCAGGAATATTTGTGGAGGTCTGCAGGACATACACAGTGGTGATAAAGCACTAGATGATGTCATCAGCATGAAACCAGTGTAGGGTGGAGCCCTGGGGGTGGGACGGGAGTGGTGTCAGCTTCTTCACAGAGCTCAGGTGACCTTTTGCACCTGCACAACTTTCTCAAGCCACCGTGTCAAGCACATATCTTTTCTTTCAGTTTTCCAGAGTTAGAGAATCGTTTAAGCCTGAACTCTGTGAATTAAGAGATGGTCACTCTTTCTGACAGATAGGGAAGCTGAGACACAGAGAGGTCAGGTTAGTTGCCTAAGGTCACACAGCAAAGGTGGAGGCAGTCCTTGGAGTCTATATGCCTCTCCACTTGTGCAACACTTGAGTGCCCTGCTGACATACACTCACTCCCATGAGCTAGACTGCTTGTGTCCACATGGGCCCTTGGCTGCTGGCAGCTCCTGAACGTATCACCAGTCTGCGTCCTAGGTCTTCCACAGTTTCAACTTGACTGATGCCTCACACACTCACTGTTTCTAGTGCCCCAGCCTTGTACTGCAATGCTCAGGGGGGCCTTGCACACTCAAAACTCCATGCACATTCCTAATGTCCCTTCCATGGGACTATGGGCACTTGGCTTCCTGGGTGTACACTGTCCGTCACACCTGTGATCTCATGTAGTCAAAAGACACATGTCTACACACAAGGCTCACACACACACACACACACACACACACACATACACCCCTCAACATTCACTCCGCTTTGCAAACTTGCTGTTTTATCTGTTCATGGCCCTCACTAGTCACATCACCTTGGACAATAGGATAGCTGTGCATTCTTCCTGTGTACCGATGGGGTCTTGCCTGTTCACGCCCCTTCCCCTCTCCCACCCCCGATGGCCTTGCATGACCACACGATCCCAGTGATCCCACCTCTCCTTGCATGACCATGCTATCCCACCTTTCCTTGCATGACCACTCGATCCCACCTCTCCTTGCATGACCACATGATCTCAGTGATCCCACCTCTCCTTGCATGACCACTCGATCCCAGTGATCCCACCTCTCCTTGCATGACCACGTGATCCCACCTCTCCTCGCAGCTCCGACCCAGGACTGTACCCACAGACTTAAGTTATCCCGACTGTGCTGTTCTCACAGGTCCTCAGACAGGCTGTGTGCACACTGCCCTGCACCAGCCCTCCCCATCCGCCACAGCACTACACAGAGCTGCCATCTGCCCGTGTAACCCAAAATCTGGGCACTCATTCAAGTAGAGCTCACAGTCTATCCTGCTCGGTTAACTACACTGTAACACACCGATTCACGCACCTCACACTCAGTTGTACACCTGTGACCTTGGCATGTTCCCACAGTGGAAGTGTTTATACCATTCCACGAGTTCCTTCTGGTGTGTTCGCTCCTGAACGGGCACTCTCCTTCAACGCCACCCAGTACCGAGATTAATTGATCAATCACAGAGCTTCACACTTATTCTCTGACGTACACCGCCCACCAGTGTTGATAGCCACACCTCCCCCTCTGGCTTGCCCAAGTATGTGTTCTGGCATACTTGTATTCTCAGGTTCACACAGCAGCATGCGCTCTGTCCCTCTGATGGCCCACCTCTGTCATGGTGCCCTACTGCCTTGCCCACATCTGGCCCTGCCTGTAGCCTACTGAGGCCACTCTCCAGGTATACACAACAGCATACACTTCTTCCTCCCATGGTCAAACTGTCCTCTGGGCCCCACCCTGCCTTGCCCACGATCCAGGTCACAGCATGCTAGGGTCCCTACCTGTATCTTACTGCGACCACCCTCCAGGTAGGCACAGCAGCATGCACTACCTTGTCCCTCCAATGGTCTCTTCTCTCTCTGGGCCCCAGCCTGTCTTGTCCATATGGGGGAGGGGTTAGTCACCCAGTCCCTGCCTAACTGACACAGTGCTCTTCACCCCGCAGGGACCTACCAAGGCCAGTTCACCAACGGCATGCGGCACGGCTACGGCGTGCGCCAAAGTGTGCCCTACGGGATGGCGGTGGTGGTGCGCTCCCCGCTGCGCACGTCGCTGTCCTCGCTGCGCAGCGAGCACAGCAATGGCACGGTGGCTCCGGACTCGCCGGCGGCGGACGGGCCCGCGCTGCCCTCGCCCCCGGTGCCGCGCGGTGGCTTCGCGCTCAGCCTGCTAGCCACCGCCGAGGCTGCGCGTCCCCCGGGGCTGTTCACACGTGGCGCGCTCCTGGGTCGGCTGCGACGCTCCGAGTCGCGCACATCACTGGGTAGCCAGCGCAGCCGCTTGAGCTTCCTCAAGAGCGAGCTGAGCTCGGGCGCCAGCGACGCCGCGTCCACCGGCAGCTTGGCCGAGGGTGCCGAGGGCCCCGACGATGCGGCCGCGCCCTTCGACGCCGACATCGATGCCACCACCACCGAGACCTACATGGGCGAGTGGAAGAACGACAGGCGCTCAGGCTTTGGCGTGAGCGAGCGCTCCAGCGGCTTGCGGTACGAGGGTGAGTGGCTGGACAACCTGCGCCACGGCTACGGCCGCACCACGCTGCCCGATGGCCACCGTGAGGAGGGCAAGTACCGCCACAACGTGCTGGTCAAGGGCACCAAGCGCCGCGTGCTGCCGCTCAAGAGCAACAAGGTCCGCCAGAAAGTGGAGCATGGCGTCGAGGGCGCACAGCGTGCAGCAGCCATCGCTCGCCAGAAGGCTGAGATCGCTGCCTCCAGGTAAGGGCCTGGTGGGAACCTGCAGCCTAGGGGGCCCAGGCCAAACCTGGTCATGCATTTCTTTACTGTGCCAGTCACCCATGCATCTAGTTATCTTCAGATCGTGCCTCAGCCATCCACTTAGCGGCTACCCCCCACACAGACCCAACCCTTTGCATATCTTATTCTCACATAACCCATCTAATAGCCATGTGTCTGCTCAGCAGTCATCCACTTATCCATTCCACCTTAATGCATACCCACCTACACCGCCATGCACGCATCCACCCATCCATTTATTCACCCGTCTATCCACCCATTCACCAAACCTAGCAGTAGCCCACCCAAACATTCCTCTAATCCCTTCACAACTTCTCTAACACTCAGGGCCTCTATCCACCTAACCCTTTTATCCATCCATCAACTTCCGGTCACTCAGTCTCTTTAGTATCTACCCGACCAACCATCCATCCTCACAACCACATCCACCTTCATCCACACAGCCAACTTCCCATCCCTTTTCACTTTCCTGGCTGCCTAATCATCTCCTCAACCACTGACTCAACTACTCACACATCTATTTGACCACTTATTGATCCCCCATTCACCAATCATCTCTATTCTCTCAACTACTTCACCCATTGTAAAAACCAGTAATAAATCCATCCATTCACCCACCACATTGATTACAGCTACTTCCATTTATCTGGCCACCCAGCCACACTTTTACTCATGCAAATGTCTACTCGCACTCACTCAATGACCCCTCCACGCATCCACCCATCTAGCCACCTCCACAGCTAACCATACTTCCACCCAAACATTGGCCACACTTCCATTTACTCAACCCTGTTCACCTATCTGGCCTGCCTCCTATGCATCCGCTCACCCTTTTACCGGCTCACCACCCACCCTATCATCTACATTCTATCCCCGATGTCTTCTCATCCTAAAGCAGACGGAGTTCTAACGTTGTCTTCCAGTGTGTGTTAAACAATATCGACCCTTCCCATGCCTTTAGCCACCTTACAAGGTTTCTTGTGCTATTTTAGACGAGCTAAAAGAGGCTCACAGTAGCAAGGCGCTTTGTCTAGTCACTAGCTCAGAAGGTTAGTGTTTCCCCCACATGGTGTCACCGTTTCTTAGTTGTCCATCTCTGGCCAGTTGTGTTTTCTTTTCAAAGCCCAGGTGTCTCATCTGTACAAACAGGGCTGTTCTGAGAGTTGAGAAAGCCAGTGCAAGCCGAGTGCTCCTGGTGAGTCCCCTAGAAGCAGACTCTCAGATGGAGATCCGAGAGCAGGAGGATGCTTATGGGGAGCACTCTTAGGATTGATGCTCTGGAGAAGGGAAGAAGCAGGATGGGGCTGCAGGAAAGGCTGAGCAGTAGTGCAGTCTCCACAAAGGCTTCCATCAATCACATGGGGGGCCTCTGCAGAGGGATGTTATCCCTATTTGGGATGAGGGAGTTAGACCAAACCCTCTCTGAAGAATGCAGACTCCTCCCCAGAAAGGAGCATGGCCTGGGGGCTGGACAGCTCCCTTCAGGCCAGGTCAATCCCTCGAGAGTGCTGGTAGTCTGTGGTTCTCCAAGTGGCTAGGGTGGGAGAAGGAAGTCCTTGGGTTCTGAGGCAGAATCTATAGTACCAACTATAGTGCTGAACACTAAGTACAGCCACAATAATGCCAACAGTCACTGGCATTCAACAGATTTATTTGACAGATGTGAAACTGAGTTCAAAGAATACAATATGCCTATATTCCTTACTTTTTTATGTCATTATCTGACAGAAACAGAGAAGACTTGTTTTTTTTTTTTCACCTAGTTTTGAGGCTTTCCGTCTGCTGTTGGAAGGGAAGGCATCGGCTTTTCGTGCATGGACCCAGAAGCAGAGAGTGAGACAGGAAGTGCACCTAGTGACCTTTTACCGGCTAGGCCTCACTCTAGTGCCACCAGCCGGGGACCAGGCATTTAAAGAGCATGGGGGCTGGAGAGACGGCTTGGCCTGTTAAAGTGTTCACTGCACTTGCAGAAGGCCTGGCGTTGGTTCCCAGCTCTCACAACTCTGGTTCCAGGGCATCTGACTCGGCAGGCTCATGTATGAATGTGGTGTACATATCTACTCAGATGCATGTACAGACACATAGGACAGTAAATAAATAAATAAATCTCTAAAACACGAGCTCCTGGGGATATTTCCATTTCAAACCATAACAGTGCCAACACTATGGAGAAAGCAAGCAGGAGAAGTCTTCAGTCTGAGTCTTCTGATTCCAAAGCTCTAACCTGCACAGCCTCAAACTTCAAATTGTGAGAGTAACAGTTAGTACTGCAAACTAGGAAAGAAATTAAGGGCAGTTTTCTTAAGACTTCTTGGTTAAGGGCTGCTAAGGTTAGAATGTCTCTCTGGTCTGAGCTCGTGGGGAAATGTAATCGCTGTACTAACAGTCTCAAGGGGTGGGAGTTTTGAGACGTGATTGAGTCACGAGGGTTCTGCTCTCATGGGTGGGACTAATGCTGCTAGAAAAGGGTGAGTTTGGCTCCCTGGTCCCCACACTGTGTGTTGCATGTACACAAACATGTGTACAGAGGGCATGTGGAAGCCAGAGATCAACCTTGGGTGTCATTTCCCAGGAGCTATCCATCCACCTTGCTATTTATTTATTTTTGTTGGTTTTTCAAGACAGGATTTCTCTGTGCAACAGTCTTGACTGTCCTGGAACTCACTTTGTAGACCAGGCTGGCCTCGAACTCACTGAGATCTGCCTGCCTCTACCTCACAAGTGCTGGGATTAAAGTCATGCACTTTGCCTTTTAAAACAGGATTTCCCACTAGGCCCCAGAGCTTTCTGGCTGCCTAGAGAACTCCAGGGGTCCTCCTGATTTTGCCTCCCTAGTGTTAGGATCATAAACATGAACCATCATGCCTGGCTTTTTATGGAGTTCACACTCAGACCCTCATGCTTATGTGACAAGCACTTTACGGACTGAGCGAGCTCTCCGCCCCTCATGTGCCTCCGACATCACATAATCCAGCCTTTATGTCCTTCAAAGGCTAGAGTGTGCAAGCTGCCATTATGGAAGAGAATGGCCTTATCTAAGACTGAACTTGCTTCGACTGGTCAGTCTTCAGATGGTGAGCAATAACTTCCTGTGGCTACAAAGTGTGCAATCTGAGGTATTCTGTTATAGCAGCACCAATGGACTGAGGTAGACCAGGCCTATGAGCAGGGGACTCTATTATTGTCCAGCCACAATAATTTTATGAAGTAAAGGGCACACTTTTGGAAAAACCAAACTTTTACTTTATTTTAAGTTTCTAGAAAAGTTGTGAAGAGGGACTGAAGAGGTGGATCAGTGGTTGGAAGTGAATACTCTGGTTCTTGCTAAGGACCAGAGTTCAGTTCCCAGCACCCATGTCTGGTTCCCAGCACCCAAATCAGGCAGTACACAACTTCCAGTAACTCCAGCCCCAGGGAATCTCATGTCTTCTCTTTGAGTCAGCAGACATACACACCCCTCCCACATACACATAATTAAAAATAAGTCTTAAAAAATGAAAGTTGTGAGGAGATACAAAGAGCTCCCATATCTTTCCACCAAGTCTCTAATGCTGATTTCTTAGATGGCCACAATGCATATATCACATAAGAGGTGCAGAGTTAGCTCAGCCAGGTAAGTGCTGACCTGGGAAGCATAAGGACATGAGTTCAAGCCTAACTGGGAAGCATAACAAAACAAAAAAAACAAAACAAACCACAAACAAACAAACCAGATAAGATGGCTTGCACTCTCACTGTTGGGGAGCTGCAGACAAGTGCATTCTGGGGGCTTGCTGGCCAGCCCGGCAGCTGGTGGCTGAAGAAACATCTGATGTCTGCTGACTTCCACACATGTGCACAAATGAGTACATGTGTCAGCAGACATGTGTGTACCTGCTTGAACTATTATTATTATTTTGGTTTTTTGAGACAGGGTTTCTCTGTGTAGTTTTGGTGCCTGTCCCGGATCTTGCTCTGTAGACCAGGCTGGCCTCAAACTCACAGAGATCCGCCTGACTCTGCCTCCCAAGTGCTGGGATTAAAGGCGTGCGCCACCACTGCCCGGCCTCGTTATTATTTTTTAATATAATTTCTTTATTGATTCTTTGAGAATTTCACAGCATGCACTCCAATTCCTATCATTTCTCAGTCCCTCCAATGGTTGTGACAAGTGGGAGCTGGGGCTGTTTTGGGTCATCCGTGGGCAGAATACAAACAGGTTCAGAAGCCCTTGAGACGATATGCTGCCTCTTGTGCCAGCTGTGTGACCTTGCCCAAGTTGCTCCCCCACCCTGACTGTGGGATCCTCGTCCCTCATAGGGCAGAGAGGAGGGTAGGAGGAAATGAGCTACTGATTGGCATGGAGCAGCCAGCAGTGGAGAGCACTGTCAGTCCACACGTTCGGTTTAAAAGACAAAGCAATGGACGCTGGGTGAGGCGTGCTTTCCCTAAACCCTCCCCGTGGGGCACAGAGACACCCTGTCGGCTCTCTTACTTTCCCTGCCCGTGTCCTTGCAAGCACCCGTGCATCTGAATGTGTGGCACTGTCACCAAGGTCCCCAGGCCCTGCAGCTGACTTGTGCTTCTGGAAGGAGAAACTGGTACCTAACCTCTCCTATGTACAGCTCTGCTGGCCATGTACAGGATGCTCTGGGGAGAGCTGGAGGCTTCATGGATCGGCAGTCAAGACCCTGATGGGAGTGGCTGGGCTCCAATTCAAGCCCAGCAGAATTTCCAATTAAGGGAGTCTTTGGGTTAGGAGGAAACACAGGATTGCAGCATCTTCCCTGAAGGCTCCCCCTTCCCTGGGGCTTTGGTGAGTAAGCTGGATGCAGAGGGACAGGAAGCAGCCCCAGCAGCCAGCAGCCTTCTGGGGCTCAGGAGGGCGGGGCTTCTGTCCTCTGTAGCCTCTAGCTCTTAGCTCTGGGCTTGGTTATACTCTCAGCTCAGCATCCATAATCAGGACATCTCTCCCAGGCCAA